CTGCTGAAGGTTTGTGCAGTAGTACCTAAGAAGTCATTATTAAGCCAGGCAAAATGTAATAACCAGGTAAGCACCAAAGGAAGGAAGATCTTAATTACCTTTGCATACTGAATACTAATGCTGTTAATTAAAGCCTAAAGAAAGGCTAGCATTGCCAAATAGAAGTATGAGTCAGGATAGTCATAACCAAATAGCTCAAATTCTGCTTTTTTCTGCCAAGAGCATAATGCTGACTTAGTCTTTTGAGATGAAGTGATTTTGCAGATGACTGTACAGACTTCATCAAATGGCATAACGTGGTCCAACAGGAAAAAAATGTTTCATTCAGAACACTTGTTCTGCATCATACCCTGATTTCTGGTTTGAAGTATTATTTTTGCACTACTTCTTAACAATTATCAGAGCTTAGATTTCAGCTTTGTTTTGTCTTGTAATACTTACAGGCAGCTATAGCAGTTTGTTTATAACATTATTTGATATAGGCAATATTAAAATGTAATTGATGGTCACATCCCCTGTAAGTAGATGGAGCGTAAAGTGATGAAGAGAAAAATACGGTGTAATAAATAGATGATGTATAAAATACATACAATTTTTTCATCATCAACTAGCAGAATGCTGGAAAAAAATCTTGTCTTTTTTCAAATAGATAAACATGCATTCTTGCATTCTAAACATTTCAAATGTGAATTTTTTTTTTAATATCACTTAAATTCCGTATTTTTCCCTTGTTTTTTTGTCCATAGTTGTATGCAGCCCAGGATCGTACAATCCTAGTAATGGAATTTACTGTCTTCAGTGTGACAGCAGTTTGATATATGGAGCAATGAAGTGCTAACGGCTGAGGGATTTGCAGTCTCACAATAGCTCTTATGTATTTTAACGTGGTAATATTAATAAATATTTTTAAAATGTGTAGTTTTGGTTACATCAGTAGAATACACTTGTTTTTAAGAAATACTGATTCATCAGCATGTTGGTAAAATGTTTTCGGTCATACCACTGAGGACTACTTAATTTTTAAGGTGTGTAGAATATCTGCTAGGTTAATACCAATAGAGATAACTAACTATTTAAATCAGAAGAAGACAATACAAAAGTAGAAGTATTTGGCCTACTTTGTCCTTTGCTGATAGACCTCAGCTCCTCTTGACGCAGACTGGTGTAAAGAGTCTATGTTGTAGTTTTCATCTACCTGTCCATTCAGTCATTGGTTAAGAGGATTATAGAGAACAGCTCATGGTGTACATCCAGGACTGAAAGGTAATGAATGTTGCAATGTAGCCTCAAATGCAAAAACATCCTAAAAACTTTCTCTCAAGATGAATTATAACGTCACTACTGACCGGTTGGTAACTCCTTCCCAAAGAATGTCAAATTCCACTTGGTTCAGTCATCTGTTCCACCTTTAAAGATAACACATGGAGCATAAGAGGAATACAAACAGTAACATAAAATACCATGGTACTTTTTAACACTTATCATCTTTACTTTTGCAAGACTGTTGAGAATTACTAAGTGGTTGGCTCAATGCATTGCTTGTCATTGCCATTCATTAACAGTGCTATTTAAGTTGGTATTCAATAACAGAATCCTGTTTACAATCCTATTTGTTTGGTATTTGCAGATCATACCCCATGCAAATTGCAAAGTTTTTAAATAAATACTATGGAGTTTATACTCTTTTTCCCCTTAGCTGTTTTTCCTATCTAGTTCATGTATAAAAATGAGTTAGATGTGAAGGCCACTTTTAGCTCTGTCATAGCTGGAAAATGAGGTTTGCAGGTTTTTGTTTTTTCAAGCACAAATATGGAACACAGGTTTAAATATGTATGTCTTCAGAAACTACTCTGAAAAAAGGAATAAACAGAAATACTATGCTACATCTAAGAAGTAATTTTTCAATATGATGTGTTATCTTAAGACGCTGTACTATAAGTATCCCACTAGTATACTGTTTACGTGACAGAGCCTGAAGCTCCGAATATATGAAGGACACAAAAAATGAAAACAGTGCCTTTGAAAGTAAGTAGTAAGACTACGATTCGCCTTTCCGGTTTGAATGAATTAAAGCACCTTTTGTATGAAACATATGCAACTCAGGCATTTGAAAAAAATGGCAAACAAGCATTATTAGGATTCTACAGTGACACTGTTTATTGCTCAAACACTAGTATAAACAGCATAACTAGCAGAATATATAAAATAGGTCTTTTTAGCAAATGCCGTTTGAAAATAAATAGCTGGGAAAGAGCATGTTAAAGATGTTTAGCAGTTAAGAAATTAAACTCTAACTGTAATCCATAGAATGACTAAAGGCTACCTATTCCTTATTTTCATGTGGTAATTAGAAATGAACAGACCACTGGGTCGTTACATTAGGCTGAAGCACTGCATGTCCATATGTTATCTCCATAATTTCCCACTCACAAGAGCACTGAATTAGTTAGCATTAGTTTGAATTATTAATGGATAGAGAGCATAGTATGCAGTATTGTCTTTGTGAAAATACAGACTTTTTGTTAAAAAACCACCCTACCAAGTAACATCAGCACATGGAACTTCCTACAGTATGGATAGCAAATTAATTTCAGAATTACCCTCTGAAACGAATGCAGCTTTTTAAGGCAATAGCAATATAGACTAAGCAGTATTTTGACATTTTTCTGTATTTACCTCCCTGTTGCACATCAGAAATGGAAAGCTGTAGTTGGCAGACCTTTTCATCAATTAAAGACATTTATAGAATGTATCTATACTTTGAGGGAGAATAATAAAGCTGATGCAGTTTTTCCTGGGGTATTATACACACTAGAATATTGAAATTCTTCTCCCTGCATATATTTATGCATTTTAGCACAGTATAGAAATGATGTTTTTTGGTCTTCCTGATAGGTGAAATTCATTTTAATTCGCAAAGTTTGCATACTTTTTAAGGCTTACTGGCAAAAGTAAAGTGATTGTAACGGTTTGTCTTTAATTCTGCCTACTATGAACAAAAGTACTTTAGACAAGTTTTTGTAAGTGTTCTCTCATTCACTGATTACAGTCAAGTACAGATGCTTTATTATAGGTGCAATCTCTGGAAGAAATCCTCATCTCCGTTAACAGTATTAACCTGGGCTTCTAGATTACTCTTGGTTTACACTGGCTTAACCAAGAAAAGAATTCTCATTTGTCAATGCGTACATGCTGTATATATACAAATACACATCTCTCATTGCTAAAATATTTTAGGTTTACTCTCTTGTATGGTTGAAGCCAGAAGAAAGAAATTTCTTTGCCTATAAAACCATGGAAAAACGTTTTCCTTGTTTATCTATTCCCCAAAATAATTACATGTTAAACTTGCTTTCATTTCCTCATGTTACATCTGGTACATGTTTGTTATTTTTCCACATTGTGTGTGAACTGATACTTGCGTTCCTATTTTCACCACTTTTCACAAATTCACCCCTTCGCCACGAGATAAAGTCTGTGCACCCAGAAACACTCGGCACACTCCACTTTTGCAGATGGTCCTGCAGTTTGTTCAAAATCTGCAGCAGTGCTCTCCATCCTGCTGGAACTGGGGCGCTTACCGGTTTGTGTGGTATTTCTCCCTTGTTGCCAAAGAAACATGAAGCAGGCTAACTTCTTGAATTCTACTAAATTGACAAGATTACTGATGAATGTAAGTGGCAAACTCGACATTTACGATCCATAGGTTATACATACTCAACAAGACTAACTTGCTGTTCCATTACCATAGTCTGCCTGTTCTTTTCAACAAATTTACGATCCATAGGTTATACATACTCAAGAAGACTAACTTGCTGTTCCATTACTATAGTCTGCCTGTTCTTTTCAACAGTAGCTTTAATGGTGCTGTATATTTCTCAAAAGCAATGATCTTTTTAAAAGGATGAAACTGTTAAGTGTTACAGAAATAGCATTACTATTAGCTAGTAGCTGCAAATGAACCTAACATGACCAATGTGACAAATATTTCTGGTAAGTTGAGAGTTGATTGTTTTTAAACATGAGCTTTTGTGCTGCTAATTATGTCAGTGTTTTCCTATTACCAATTAATTGATACTATGTATCAGTATTTCTACATAGCCTCAACAGGTAAACAATAAAAACTTTTGACTTCTCTGTAACTGATAATTGACATACAAGTGTGGAGTTTGCCTGTACTTGTTTTAAAACTGTATAAAATGAATGAGGAACATTCTGGGATTCTGGGAAGGAGTGGCTGTCTTCTCAGAACTGAACAGGTCATAAACTTTCTGAAGTGGTACTTACTTTTATCAAAAAGTGATGAAAAATTTTAATTCTTGGATAGCCAGGAAAGTAGTCCGTGATGCTCAGTTCAGTGCTGTCTCCCCAATTTGTGTTTTGTTTTTAATGAAGCATTTTTTTTTAGGGCAGAGGTGTATTTTTGCAAACGGAAAACCCACGGTAACACAGGTTGTGAAGAAAACTCATTGCCTGGTAAGGGGAATAAATGTAGCGTTTAGTTGGATTGCATTAGATTCTTAAATAATATGTGCCTTTCAAAGCCTCCTACTTATTATGGAGCTATCATAGTTTAGATATTAAAGTTACCACCAAAAGTAACATCAAATACTTTACAATTATGACAGTATACTTTATATTACACCGTATGAGAACAGAAGAGAGATTGTTTTCTCTAGTGAGGGAACTGTTCATCATATCTTTGTCTTTCTTATTTGTATTAAAGACTTTAATTCAATGTCATTTAAAGGTGGCTTTCAATTTTACACCTCTGGAGATCACCTAGTCCAATACCTTGCTGAATGCAGGTTCGGCTACAGCAGGCTCCTCAGGGCCGTGTCGTCGCGTTTTGACCATCCTCAAGGATGGAGACTCCACGACATCTCTGGGCAATATCATCCAGTATTTAATCACCTTTACTGTATTTTTTTCATCTCCAACTAGAATTTCCTGTATTTCAATTTGTGCCCCAAATACATTTCTCATTTACTTTTCTTTTGATATTCTTTAAAAATCTCCCTATGAAATACCCGTATGACATTGTAGCTGTTTTTCATTGTTTGAACATTCCTATCGTAACACTCAGCTCCTCTGTCTCATATATCTTTTCTTTTTCCCCTTTTCCCTTTTAAATCTTGCATAAGTATTTAAGTGACTACCAGCACGTCCATTTTTGTTGTTTAAATGAGTAGTATGGTATTGCACAGTAACTGTGCAATTTTATAATTACCTGAAACTATCTAGAATATCATCTCTTCAGGCACCTACTTACACAGGTTTGAAGCCAAATTCATGTGTAGTGCAATCCTACAAAAATGGATGAGGCCAAACCAAGAATTAATTTGTCTTGATTTCAACTGGGGAATAAGCAGAAGCAAGTGAAGTAGAAGCAGAAATCTCATATTCACGCCATGCAGCTACGTAAGAACATCTGAGAAGAATATTCATTATCCAAGCAACAGACCTTCAAATACAAAGTTATTCATGAGCTATCAGTGTATCCAGAAATACAGCTTTTATAGACACAACCCACCTGCAAAGCTGAAGAACTCCTCATATGCAGGATGCATAATACTGTTTGCACTGAAGCAAAAACTAGCCGAGTACCTAGGCTTCAGTACAGGAGCCAATATTCTCTGCAGTTTGGTTCACTGGAAATGATGCAGATGGCTTTTCTTGTATTATTTAAGGTTAAATATGAACAGGTATATTACATGACCAAATAATAACATTTAGCTAAGTACATGTGGCCACCGCAGCAGTTCCGTTTTTTGCTTAAATTAGTTTAAAGGCGAATGGTTTCCAATGCACTCCATAATGGCTATTTTTTTTAAGTTT